TTCTTCTCATGGGGCTTCAACTGACGAGAAGCATAAGCAATAACTCTGCCCTCCTACATCAATACACACCCAATACTAACTCTCGAAGCATCATAATACACGGTATATGAACCTAAAGCTGACGGCAAAACTAACACTGGAGCTGTGGTCAAAGCTACCTTGAGCTTCTAAAAGCTCTCCTCACACTCGTCTGACCATACAAATGAAGCGCCCTTCTGAGTCAACTTGGTCAAGGGTGATGCGATATATGAGAATCCCTGAACAAAACCGCGATAATAGCCTGCCAAACCAAGAAAGCTGCAAATCTCGGTGGCTGAAGACAGTCTGGGCCAACTCTGAACTGCCTTTATCTTCTTCGGATCAACCTGAATACCCTCACTAGATACCACGTGCCCCAAGAAAGCGACCGAACTGATCCAAAACTCACACTTGGTTCTATTTCTTCTTCACAAATAGAACCGGCGCACCCCAAGATGACACACTAGGCCGAATGAACCCCTTATTAAGGAGTTCCTGAAGTTGCTCCTTTAAATCCTTCAACTCCGCTAGTGCCATACAATACGGCAGAATAGAAATGGGCTGAGTGCCCAACACCAGGTCAATACCAAAGTCAATATCTCTATCCGGTGGCATGCCCGACAGGTTTGCAGGAAACACATCGGGAAAATCCCTCACAATTGGAACAAAATCAATACTAGGAGTCTCTGCACCGACATCCCTCACAAAGGCTAGATATGAAAGGTAACCCTTCCCAACCATACGCTGGGCCTTTAAGAATGAAATTACCCTACTTGGAACATAATCATTCAAACTTCACCACTCAATCTGTGGCACACCCGGTATAGCCAATGTGACTGTCTTGGCATGACAGTCCAGAATAGCACGACACGGAGATAGCCATTCCATGGCCAAAATGACATTGACATCCACCATACATAATAATAAAAGATCCACTCGGGTCTCCAAACCCCCAATAGTCACCATATACGACTGGTACACACGGTCTACAATAACAGTATCGCCCTCCGGGGTAGATACATGAATAGGTGAAACAAGAGACTAACAAGATGTACCTAAATAACGAGCAAAGTATGATGATACATAAGAAAAGGTGGAACCGAGATCAAATAATACAGAGACATCTCTGTGGCAGACTGAAACAATACCTGTGATAACAGCATCAGAAGTAATAACATTGGGTCTAGCTGGAAGTGCATAGAAACGGGCCTGACCGCCACCTGATCGACCTCCCCCTCTAGGGCGACCCCTAGTTGACTGACCTCCACCCCTAGCTGGTTGCGCGGGTGGTGGTGAAGTAATTGGTGCTGAAGCCGATGGTTGACTCATCTGCTGAGATGAACCCACAAGTCGACGAAGACACTGCTTCCATATATGACCCATCTCTCCACACTCATAACAACTCCCAGGTGCTGGAGAAGGGGACTGAAGGGAACGCCTAGCACCGGAATGACTAGCTGATGCACCTGGCATAGATGATCCCTGAACTGATGAAGCACAGGACGAACACTGAGCTGGAGGGCACTAAGTGATGACTGACCCTAATTAGAACTGTGAGAACCATGACCCGATGATGCCCCACGATAACCCGGGCAAGCTGGCTGAGCATGCCTGAATGAACGACCTCTGCCATGCTGAAACTGACCTCTCGAAAGAGTACCACTATAACTACCAGATCCTCGAGGCCTGTTGGCCTCCCTCTGCTCTCTCTCCTAGCAACGAACTGACTCAATCTCACAAGCAATGTCTACAACCTCCTCAAAAGTAGCACCAGTCACTCTCTCCCTGGTCATGAGAATAAGAAGCTGATAAGTGAGGCCATCAACAAACCTTCTAATCCTCTCTCTATCTGTCGAAACCAACCAAATAGTATTAAGAGCTAACTCGTAGAACCTCATCTCATACTGCGTCACAGTCATCTCTCTCTAACGCAACCACTCGACTGCCTGCGCAGCTCCTCTCTAAGAGACTGTGGCACACACTTCTCCAGAAAGAGAACGGAGAACTGTTGCCAGGTAAGGGGTGCTTCACCAACAGGCCTACGCCTCTCAAAAGCCTCCCACCAAGGGAAGGCAGCTCCATAAAACTGATAAGTAATGAAAGAGACCCCGATGGTCTCCAGAATACCCACTGTACGAAGCATCCTTTGACACTTATCCAAGAAACCCTGGGCATCCTCACCCTCTGCACCACTGAAAGTCGGAGGCTGAAGTCTACCAAACCTCTCCAACCTACGCTGCTCGTCGTCCGGCATGGCAGGAACAACATAGCCCTGAGCAGCTGCAACCAGCTGGGCTGGATGTGCCCCCGGTGTCTGAAGTCCCTGCTCGACTTGCTCAGGTGTGCAAGCGGCGAGAATCTGAGTGCCTCCCACCNAAGTCCCTGCTCGACCTGCTCAGGTGTGCAAGCGGCGAGAGTCTGAGTGCCTCTCCCGGCCTGAGAAGTAGTTACGGCTATAGTAACTGAGACCGCATGAGCTAGGCTAGTGCAAACTGATAGAATCTGAGCCAAGGCCTCCTGAAGACCCAGAATCACAATGGGCATAGCTGGTGCCTGAGTTGGTGCTGCTGGAGCGTCCACAACTGGACCTGATCCTGAACTGGGGCAGCTGGTGGATCTGCAGGTGCTGCTCTAGCTGATGTGCGAGCCACACCCCTGCTCCTACCGCGACCACAATCACGTCCTCGGCCTTTAGTGGCCATAGCTGGTGGTACTACTGGTCTTCCATCCTAACCAGTAGCGCGTGTCCTCACCATCTGTGAGAGAATAGAATAACAGAAGTTTAGTACTCGGATCAATAGATTCGCACGATAAGAATTTCGAGAGTATGAAGTTTTTTTTCCTAAAGGTTCTGCAGCCTCTCGAGCATAAATACAGACGTCTCCGTACCGATCCGCGAGACTCTACTAAACCCTCTCATGACTCGTGAGACCTATGTAACCTAGGCTCTGATACCAACTTGTCACGACCCTAAACCCGGACCCGATCGTGATGGCGCCTCTCGTAAAGACAAGGCCAACCGACACATTTTCCACTTCGTTTTAAGCAATTAAAATAATAAGTATTAAGTCTTTAACATGATAAAATCCCCAAAATAAGAAGTGAATAGCACAATTTGAGGAATTTAAAACCAACACAGCCCGACATCGGGGTGTCACCAGTCATGAGCATTTATAATACTACAAATCTGAAAGGTTCTACTCAAATTATTACAGAATACTAACAAGAGAAAAAAATGACATAGGGGGAGAAGCACGGGGCTGCGAACGCCGAGCAGCTACCTCGTGAGCTCCAGAATCTGCTAGAAGCTCTCAACCCTCGCCAGCAGGACTGAAGTGCCTGAATCTGCACACGGGGTGCAGGGAGTAAGGTGAGTACTCCAACTTAGTGAGTAATAATAATAAATGTAGACTGAGTAATAAGAAACCACATAAAGGCATATCAACAGATTATAAAGAAGCAGTAAAAGCCAGTAAAAACAGTGAAATAGTGAAAGTATGTAAAGTTCACCTTAATTCAATTTAACTTCTTAAAATGCCTTTTTAACAATTAAGCAAGTAAATGACAGGCAAACAAGAAAGAAGAATCTCATAAAGGATTGCCCGTCGGGCATAATGTCAACAAACTCCGCCCCTTGGGTAATATCATAGAACAACACCAGCCCCTCAGGCTATATCTCACACCACACATGATACCAGCGCTCACTAGGGGTATGCAGACTCCTGAAGAGGTCCCTTACGGCCCAAGCGCAATATCAAGCCATCTCGTGGCATCATCACTAGGCTCTCGGCCTCATATCAACAAGCCACCTCGTGGCGTACAAATCTCAGGCCCTCGGCCTCATAATCATAATCAGTGTTTCCTCACAACATAGGCCCTCGGCCTTATTCAGTCAGAATCTCACAAGCCACTCGGGCAACAGTAAAACATGGTGCTCAGCCCAAAATATCATTTAAGTGTTAAAGTAGAGTAAACATGGCCGAGTTATGAAAATAGTAGAATATAGCATGACTGAGTACAAGTATAAAGTTAAAATAGTGAGGAAATATCAATAAAAATCACTTAAGGGTTCAAATAGTTGGCACGAGGCCCAAATATGACATTCAGCCCAAAACATGATGATAGCAAATAGATTTCAGTTAAATACGCGGCAAAGTAGTCATTAGGGGCGGACTAAGTCACAATCCCCAACTGTGCACGACCTCACGTTCGTCATCTAGCGTGTGCGTCACCTCAATATAGCACAACGATGTGCAAATCCGGGGTTTCATACCCTCAGGACAATATTTACAATCATTACTCACCTTAATCCGGTCCAAACTCTAGCCCGCGACGCCTTTACCCCTTGAATCGGCCTCAGCTCGTGTCAAATCTTTCCAAAATCAGAATCACGACGTCAAAATATGCTAAGGGAACCAAGCCCATGCGAAAATAATTAATCTACAACATAAATCTCGAAATTACTAAAACCCGACCTCCGGGCCCACGTCTCGAAATTCGATAAAATTTACATTAATAGATTTCTTATCTCCCCACGAGTTCATACATATTAAAAGTACCAAAATCCGACCACAAATGGTCCCTCAAATCCTCAAGTCTAGGTCTCTAATACCAAGCCCTAGTTTCTCCAATTTTAACCCTTAATTTCCATTAATTACAACTTTAATCCGGGAAATAATACCACAGAAACGAGTTTTAGGTCCAAAATCCTTACCTCAATGAAATCCCCTTGAAATCCTTCTTTAAATCGCCCAAAAAACTCCAAAACCGACTTAGAAATGGTGGAATAGCTCAAAAATCGCGAAGGAAATAATTTATACCTTCTGGCCCCAGGGATTTCGAATCTGCGGCCAAAATCCCGCTTCTGCGGTACCGCTTCTACGGTCCTTGAAATGCTTCTGCGGCTTTCACATAAACCACTCAGACTCCGCATCTGCTATGCCTAACACGCACCTGCGCCATCGCAGGTGCAGTTCTTCTACCGCTTCTGCGGTTCCTGCCAACTTCACCATCTTCCGATTCTGCGACTCTTTTCCGCATCTGCGGGGGTCGCACTTGTGGCCTCCCAACCGCAGATGTGGTTATGACAGTAGATTCTAACTTCAGCTGCCATTCCAAACTTCCATTCTTTCCGTCAACCATCCGAAATTACCCCGAGGCCCCCGGGACCTCA